AATCCACCCAGACTTGGGAGGAAAAATAAATTGTAGTTCTCTGTAATACTTTGTTTCACAGCAACAGATAACTAAGACAAAGGGTATGCTCCTTACTTCTGCCCTTAATACAGTACCACTCAAGCCTCTAGGGGGACAGTGGTATATGAATCCCAAAAGTCAGTACTCTCTTGGCACAGTGGTAGCACTGAGGTACCCTTAGATAACTAAACAGGCAGTGAATTTAAATGGTGGCAAAAGAAGTACGAGTGCACATGAAGTGGGAGAGCAAAATGATGATAGAGGCCAAATGGTAAGTGTTGCCAATAAACTAGTCCATAAGATATAGAGATGAAAACCTAGGGATGGTAGAAGATCCCAGCTGAAGGTATGGGCAAGAGCCAGTACAATTTAAGTTATAGTTTCTGTGGCTCTGTTTCCACAAGTTAAGGAGGACTCAGAAAGAGTCAGGTGGCATCAATAACGCCTAAATCTGTTTCCACCATTCATATCTGCCACACTGTGGTTATCAGAAAGGGACATAAATCCATCGTGGGCAGAAGCACAAACCTACCAACAATCAGAGCACTGAAGCCGCAGGTGGCAGAGACTGCTAGTTGATCATCAAACTAATTTCTTCCTGTTCCTGGGCACACGATCAGACGACATTCCCCAGCCTCCCTAGCAGTTGGATGAGTCCATGTGACTGAGTTCCAGCCAACAGACTATGGATGGAAATGATGAATACCACGTCCCAGCCTGGCCAGCAAACACCTCCACACTCTCCTGCTTACGCAGCAACCTTGCAAATTACATGCTGATGGTCATGGAGCCTCGAAACAGAAAGATCGACCATGAGTCTCTGATTTACTCCTTGCAGGAGAGCCGCCACCTAAACCAGAACTGGTGACTGAAAAAGTGGTGTACTACTAAGATTTGGGCATTTATCTTTTATGCCCTTATAATAATCCTAGCTGCACATATGGCAGCACTAAGCATCTATACCTGAAACTATTCTTTAGCGTAAAGATATCCCACAAGGGTCTCCAGGTGTTTTGGAAAACTATAATATAGTAATGAAAAGTCCTTAGCTATTTTCAGTATTCAAAATGCCTAATGAAAATTCTACATTTAGGTTTCCAGGCTAATTAAAACATCAAGCCTCTCTGCTTTTGGCTGGGATGCATCACTTGAGCTCGCAGCGCTGGCCAACTCATGCCAGTCAGGAGCCTGGAGCTGCAGTATGGCCAAATAAATATCCCTGTAAAATGCAGCTTGTTTAGTCAACAAAAATCTTTCATTACATGAAATAATAGAAGTGATACCTGGTGGTACGAAGATTTGGAATCACTGCTCTCACATACCATATCGATACAGCTGGGCCTCTTCATGTTATTTTTTCCTTAAGGAAAATGGGCACCACAACAATGAACGATGATATAAAGGCAGATTCAAAAATTACTAAGATATCTATGGATATTATTTTATCTTTCCGAAAGCACCAAGAATAGATCTGGCTGATGCTATTAAACAATTGGATGACTTTGGGCATGTTACTTAAATGTTTCTGAACCTAAATTTCCTCAATGGTAAAAGGGGCTTCTTTCATTTGCCTGCAGTGGCCCTCAGGCTTGGGGGTCACCAGCATTAGCAGGAGTGCTTGTTAAAGAAGACCGCTGGGGCCCACACCATTTCCATTCACCAGGTCTGGAGTGTGGTCTAAAAACCTGCATTTCTAATAAGTACTCAAGTGTAATAGGGTTCTTCAGAGAAAGAGAATCAACTGGGTGGGTAGATAGGGGTGTGTGGATGTGTTTGTTTTTGTGTGTGTGTGTAAAGAGAAAAAACAAGAGAAGGGAGAGATTGACTGATTTCAAGGAATTGGCTCCCACAACTGTGGGCCTGGCAAGTTTAATGTTTTGCAGGGCAGGCCAGCAGGGTGGAATTCCAGTAGGAGTCACTGTTCCAGTCTTCAGTCTGAAGATAAACTGGAACAGAATTTCTCTCTTCTGGGTTTCTCAATCTTTTCTCTTAAGGCTTTCAGCTGATTGGATCAGGCTCACCAGAATTATGGAGAGTAATGTGCTTTACTCGAAGTCTACTGATTTAAATATCAATGACATCTAAAAAATAACTCCATAGCAACATCTAGACTGGTGTTTGAGCAAACAAGTGGACATAATGGCCCAGTCAAATTGACACCCAAAATTAAACATCACACCAAGTGATGCTGAAATCTTGGTATTCCTGAGAGCCACTGCCCTGCAGGACAGCAATGAAGATACATAAGCCAAGCCAAGTAAAATCATCTAGTAGCAAGGGGTTTTTCAATTATAATGGCCTCTTCTACTCCTCCTTTCAGGTTTTTAATTTTTTTTTTCTTTTGGAGACGGTTTCACTCATCACCCAGGCTGGAATGCAATGGCGTGATCTCGGCTCACTACAACCTCCACCTCCCGGTTCAAGCAATTCTCTTGTCTCAGCCTCCCGAATAGCTGGGATTACAGGCGCCTGCCACCACGCGGGCTAATTTTTGTATTTTTTAGTAGAGATGGGGTTTCACCGTGTTGGCCAAACTGGTCCTGAACTCCTGACCTCAGGTAATCCACCTCCCTTGGCCTCCCAAAGTGCTGGGATTACAGTTGTGACTGGGATTACAGGTGTGAGCCACCACATCCGGCCTCAGGCTTTTACATTTTTAATCCATCAGAGAAACCACATTTTCACTCCCCAAATATTTGAGAGAATATTCTTGAAAAGAGAATGTAAAAATGCACACCTGTGGCTGCTTCATAAATTAAGATTACCCAATTTCTGGATTACCCACTAGTTTTTATTAACTGAGCCCCTTTTTTTAAATTAACTGAGCCCCTTTTCTACTCCATAAGTATAAAAACCAAAAGTTTAATTACATTACTGAAATCACCAAATCTCAGATTCGACAGACAACAGACACTAAAACAAGGTTAGTATGGTTTTCCACCTACACCTACGCTTTCTGAAACCTTCATGGATAGAAATGTCGAAACCTCACTCTCAACAGTAATGCTCATTTTCTGACCAGGCGGTTAATAATTACATGTTACATAAAGGGGGTGAATAATTTTATATGTTGCAAAGTTGTAAAATGATGATATTAAAAATGCTAGTTTATGTAAGAGAGCTGTTTCCTACTAGGATTACATTCTTCTTCTTTTTTTTTTTTTTTTTTTAACACATTTTAAAAATCTGCACTTCACAGCAGTTAGGAAGTAGCAGAATCTGGTTCTGATTTAATCAGATGAGAACTAATTCAGCTTCAGGCCATAATGACACTTGGTGGGAGAGGTCGGGAGGCTTTCACACATTAACAAAAACAAAAAAATACGAACCTCTTTCACTCTTCCCTTGAACTTTCACTCTGCTTGATACTATTCCTAGATTTTAATTCCAAATTCCCCCAAGGGCAGAGAAAAGTTATGTAATGTGTTAGAATGTAAGACATCTTTAATAAGGTTTTTATGGTACCAGAATCAAATGAGCCACTTTTTAAAAACTAATTTTGGCAAGGGTGGCAACAAAAATATTTATATAGAGACATACATCCACTCACACCTCTATTTACTCATCCATCCATCCACACACACAAACACACACATATATCTCTTTTTGACCAAACTCTTTTCTTACCAAAAACATTTGGATAACCCTTATCTAAATTATTATTTTACTTCACAAGTTTTGTTCCACAAAGTTTCTTGTTACAGGGATTAGGAAAAAAAAAAAATCAGTCAGCTTGGAGGAACTCTAGATTTAACAAGCTCCACTGTTTTGGAATACAGCGATATTTTAATACGCTAATACGTGCTGGGACTTTTACTAAAACACATGTGTGTGTGATTGAGTGTATTTCCCAAACTTACTTGTTCATCAACTTTTGTTCCCTGTTCAGAATATCTCTCAATATTTGAGTTCTACTCAAACATGCAAGAAAATGGCTTAAAGATGTATTCAGGAAGAATTTACACTAACAGTTGATGGACTTCCGTTCAAGGAAATGTCTGTAAATACTACGCTCTGTTTGTAAATTCAGCTCAATAAGGCTATGTCTTCAACCGAGGAAGAGAGTCGAGTCTAAGTCTTAACAACGACTCTGCTTCAGTTTTCCTGCATTCGAAAAAACCTATTTCCCTATAATAATGATGATGGTGTTTCAAATCCATCTAGACAAATGGTATAACAATTGCTAAACACTCTACGAAGACAACAAATGTCATATGATAAAAGAACCCAAAATATCAACACTAGTCATTTCTAGCTTAAGATTATGAGTTCATGCTGTTCTGCATTCTGTAAATTCCCTAAAATGAGCTGTATGTTTCTAATCAGAAAATACATGTAAGTATCATTTTAAAAGGTAGTCTAATGTATTTTCTTCTCATGGGATATTTCATAACATAGTTACAATGCCATGATTTTTATCGTTACAACCAATCAGAATATAGAAAACCTAGATTAGAAATTAAAACTAAAACATGAAAAATGTCCCAAAAGTGCTAACCTTGCCTCTGTTTTGTCATTATATATGAGCTGCTCTTCATTAAGAAAGGAGAATATTTCCTTTCACAGGAAATGTGCAGCAAACCGCTAGAAAGCTATGTTTTTACCTAACTAGAACTCGGATAAAGAAAAAAAAAAACCATTAGCATTATAGCCAATAGTTTACTTTCAGAACAGTCATTTATGGAACAGTTTCTAATGTCTGGGGTAGACTGGATAATAATTACTGCAACCCCCCCCCCACTCCTGGCACCAACACACACACACACACACACACACACACACACACACGATATCCATGTCCTAATCACACACACACACACACACACACACACACACACACACCCCTAATGTCTGGGGTAGACTGGATAATAATTACTGCAACCCCCCCCACTCCTGGCACCAACACACACACACACACACACACACACACACGCGCGCGCGATATCCATGTCCTAATTTCTGGAGTCAGTGAATCTTACCTTATATGTTAAAAAGGATTCTGAAGATACGGTTAAGAATCATGAGATGGGGAGATTATCTTGGATTATCTGGATGAACTCCAGATATAGTCAGGTGTGTCCTTATAATAGGGAAGCAAAAGGCAATGTGATGACACAAGAGAAGGCCTGTGGTCACAGAGATTGGAGTGATGCAGTCACAAGCCAAAAACGTGGGCAGCCACCAGAAGCTGGAAGAGGGAAGGAACAGATTCTCCCTTAGAGACTGTGAGGAGAATGGCTTCCAGGGGGAAGTGTGGTTCTGTGAAAGCACTGATTTTAGCCCAGTGGAACCGCTTCAGAATTCTAGCCTCCAGAACTGTGCGGGAATTAATTTCAGTTGTTTTAAGCCACCAAGTTTGTGGTAATTTGTTACAGAAGCCATAGAAAACCAATGCAATACCCCAGTTGCAAGCAGGCAAGTGGTCTTGACTTCTACAAGGCTGGGGAGATGGACCTTCTGGTTGACTGGATCCTGAAGACAATCCCCACCTTTGGTGACTATTCCTCCACCCTGGTGCAGGGATGAGCAGGGCACTGGCTTGCAAGCTCTGGGTGTGGTTCCTTTTAGTCGCACTGTTGAAGTGTGTTAACTAAATCTGAGAGATGTGAATCCGGTCATGTGAATACCTGGAATAATCCGTTTATCATTAAACACATCATTTCCTGAGATTCTTAGCTTGATGTTTACAATCATCTCTCTTGCCAGGAAATTAATAAAATATGCATCTGACATAATTATGTCTACACCTACAATCCTGATGTCAAACAAAAAGCCCCACAAATCTAGAAGCTAGAGAATGTTGTATATAAGAAACAGGTGAGAAAGAGACAACTCAAGCTTATTGATTAAACTTTGAAAGAATAAAACATATACTGTAGGAACATCAGCAATTGAAGGAACAATTGCTGTACTTGTGAATCAAATTCACTCCACTTAAGAGCTCTATTATCTCCAAGTAGTACCAAAATTGAAAAGAAGTTATTGCATTTAAAGGTTTAATTTAAATTTAGGTCCTTCAACAGCAAGTTCAATGATTTATCACACTGATTGAATTCTAATTCTCTTACAATGTTGAATTCTAGAAAACCATTTCCTTCAAATGTTAGTGCCACTGAGAAACACACTTATAGGAACTCCTTAATCCTCCAAAAATAATGTAACATATGCATCATTTAATTGAACGAGGCGGTGTTATTGTCACATAGTGATAAAATTAGTGGTTCTATGCCAAGCAGTACCTTGGGCATAGGAGGCATGGTATTTTTTTCTGGTAGTCTTCCAGAAAACGTGGTTTAGCAAAATTACAAAGTATTGATGGTTTAATATCATAAATATGGAACGAATTATATATAACTTACTAGAAAACAGAGTAACAATCTAAATAGCCCACTTTTCTTTAAGAAGGACTTAATTCCCTTTCCTAATACCTCACTCTATACCACACTCTACATAAAAGTGACTTACATCCCTTGAACTCCGGAGTTTGAGATCAGCTTGGACAACATAGGGAGACCCCATTCCTATAAAAATTTTAAAAATTAGCCAGGCATGGTGGCATGTACCTTTGGTCCCAACTACTTGGGAGACTGAGGCAGGGGGATTGCTTAAGCCTAGGAGGAAAAGGCTGTAGTAAGATCATGCCACTGCACTCCAGCCTGGGTGACAGAGGAAGAGCACATATCTAAAAAAAAAAAAAATTAAAAAGTATATTACTATCTCAGTGTAAAGTAATGGGAATTCAAATCTGAATGTCAATTAATTTCAAATAAAGGTGTGGCAGAGACTTGCTTGCTGTTCAAAACCCGTTTTGTCTTATTCACGGGTGCACAAATAGACTAGATTTCCCAGCCTCACCTACAGTTAATGTTGAACTAAGACTGTGGCAAATCAAATCCAAGTATAATAATGTGCATTGATTCCCGGCCTGGCCCATACACCCCCAAAGAAACAATTCTCCACATTCCTTACCTTTTTCCACCCCAGCCTCAGGAGCCATATGTTGAAGACCAGCAGAGCCACAAAATGGAAGGAGCCTGGAGGAATAAATACATATGATTGGCACTGATTTCTTGCAGTACCTAGCATTAGCTTTACTGATACATTGGTTTTGCTTTATTTGTTAACTTATGTATTGATTCAGTTAAAACAAAAACACATTGGGTACTCAAAACATGATAGAAAATAAACAAGTGACTCACCCTGAAAATTCACCAAGTAAAGGAAACAATATAACTAGATAAAAATCCAATGATGCACAGTCCTGAGTCCTACGAATGAAATGTGTACAGAGCTCTGGAAATTATGCGGAAATGGGAGAATGAAGCTAGCTTAAGTTGATTCTTGAAGTACAGACATGGCAGGAGCCTTTCCAAACACAGGAATAAGCTCATGCAAAAGCCGCAAGGTGCCCGATGACTGTGGGCCCTGTGGGGATGGAATGGTGGCAAGAAGTAAGGAGGGGGGGGCACCACGTACAGGCAGGGGAACCGTAACTGCAGGCTTGGTACTTTCAGCAACACCCTTCACACGCTAGTACCACTGCCCAACAATGTTAATACCACTGCCCAACAATGTCAGTACCTTTGCTGGGGAGACTGGACTTTATCCTGAAGGCATTTCCTGAATGGAAAGTCACAGTCTGGTAGGTACAGAGTTAAAACTGTGATTTGAGAAAAATAGCCACATACCAGGTAAATAATACACTTTTCCCTGTAAGGGATGTGGTAGTTAAGGAAGGCAAAGAACCAGTAATAGGTAGATCAAGTTTACAAGCTACTGGATGATTACATTTTTGTACAGATGACTTTTAACCCACCTTCTAAAATATGCCCAGGGTAATCGTTTCCAAAAAGGACGTATTCAGTTAGGCAAATTACTCCTTTACAAATCTAGAAGCTTCATCACTTTTTATACCTTCCTATTAGACATTAATCACAGAGAATTTCTATCTCATGTCTCTTTTTAAATTCATATTGAAGGAGAGAAGAAAAAACAAACTGAAAGGACAACAAATACAAAGTTAATATCTCATCTATCCAGAGCTTAGCTGTCAACAACACCCAGGAGAACCATCCAAAAGTGGAAAGGTCTGAGAGGTGAAGACTTGTCACACTGGCTAGTGACTAAAGATTAGTAATTTTCCCATAGGAAAATCCCTCAAAACCTTATTTTGATAGTTAAAGTGGTGTGAAAATCCCTCAAAACCTTATTTTGATAAATTTGTATAGAAAAGGTAAGCATCCAGGTTATTTAAAAAATTAAGACTTTTTTAGAGTTTTAGGTTTACAGCGAAAATGTGTAGAAAGTACATATAACCCTCCTTCTCACCCTGATATATGCAGTTTTCCCTACTATTAACCTCTTGCATTAATGTGGTGTATTTTGAAAATTCATAAACCATTATGGATATATGATTAAGTCCATTGTTTATGTTAGGGTTAACTCTGTGTTGCACGTGCTACGGGTTTTGACTAATGCATAGTGTCATGTAGCTACCTTTACAGTGTTACGCAGAACAGTTTCACCACCCTAAAAATCCATTGCCTACCAATTCATCTCTGTGTTCCTCTCACCCCCTGCAACTCTGGAAACCACTGATCTTTGTATTGTGTCTATATAGTTTTGCCGTTTCCAGAATGTCATACAGATGGAATCACACAGCATGTACCCTTTTCACAAGGGTTTCTTTCACTTAGTAGTATGCCGGTTCCTCCATGTCTTTTCATGACTGGATGGCTCATTTCTTCTCACGGAAGAGTACTCCAGTGCATGGATGTACCATAGTGTCCCCATTCAACTATTAAAGGACTTCGTGATTGCTTCCAATTTTTGCCAATGATGAATAAAGCTGCTATAAACATTCACATGCAGGTTTTTGCGTGGATGTAAGTGTTCATTTTGGTAAATAACTACAAGCTTGATTGCTGGGTTGCATGTTTAGCTTTCTAAGAAACTGCCAAACTGTCTTCCAAAGTGGCTGTAGCATTTTACATTCCTACCAGCAATGAATGAGAGTTTCCGTTGCTTTACATTCTCACCAGCATGTGGTATGATGAGCGTGTGAATTTTAGTCATTCTAATAGATGTCTAGTGGTATCTCACTGTTGCTTTAATTTACAGTTCCCTAACATATGTCAAGCATCTTTTCATATAATTATTTTCATTGGTATATATGATTTGGTAAAGTATTCAGATCTTTTGCCCATTTTAATTGGGTTTTCTCATTGTTGAATTTTAACAGCTTTTTAAATACATTTTGATTAATAGCCCTTTATCAGATAATGGGGTTTTGTAAAGATTTTCTCCAAGTCTGTGGCTTTTCTTTTCATTCTCTAACAGTGTCTTTTGCAGAACAAATGTTTTAAATTTCAGTAACACCCAGTTTATCAACTTTTTTTCCCCCATGGATCATGCTTTTTGTTGTTGTATCAAAAAAGTCATCACCAAACCCAAGATTGCCTATATTTTATCCTAGGTTATCTTCTAGGGGTTTTATAAGTTTACATTTTACATTTAGGGCTATAATCTACTTTGAGCTAATTTTTGTGAAAGGCGTAAGGTCTGTATCTAGAGTCACTATTTTGCAAAAAATATTCAGTTGTTTCAGAAGCATTTGTTAGCAAGACTGTCCCTTCTCCAATGAATTGTCCTTGCTCCTTTGTCAAAGATCAGTTGACAATATTTGTGTGGGTCTCCTGTGTCTCTATTCTACTCCACTACTCTATTTGTCTATTCTTTCACCAATACCATGCTGTCTTAATTACTGCAGTTTTACAGTAAGTCTTAAAAGTCAGGTAGTGACTGACTGTTAATAAGAAAGGGGAAAAAAACACCCACCATAGAAAGGTTCATGGTAACTCATTAAATTTATCGATCTGGAGAGAAAAGCAGCACCTAGAAGTTGAGACTGCTCCGTCAGCCTGGATGCATCCCAGAGTGAAGACATAGCAAGGCAGTTCCTTGGGCATAGGCGGCATGATTTTTTTCTGGTAGTCTTCCGGAAAACCTGGCTTTGCAAAATGACAAAGTATTGATGGCTTAATATCATAAATATGAAACGAATTATATATAACTTACTAGAAAACACAGTAACAATCTAAGTAGCTCATTTCATCCCTAATGAATCAGATGAATGCCATTTTAAGCCAAGGAGGTTTGGGTTTTTTGTTTGTTACTGTAACTTAGCCTATCTCAGCCATGACATCCTGATCTGGAAATAATTTCAATTACTTTAATGAAGGAATTTCACTTTTGATCTCCGAATCCTTCATCAAGAACAGAACAAATAAGAACCAGGAATGCTCCTGGAAGTGTAGCCACGTAACATCAGACATGGTACTTTTAAGAAATAAGAAGTAAAACCTTCAGCTTTGGAAGATAAAGATAGGGCTTTTATATAGTAATTATTTAGAAGTTAGAGGGCATCTGCATCCAAGAAACAGCTTTGAGTTTAAACCTCAATTAGGCAGCGACTCTTACTACCTGAGAGAGTAGAATATAACTTGTCACGCTATTGTAGGGAGGCTGAAGCATGGACAGGAAATCAGAGCAGAGGGTAGGCAGAGCTGCCATACAACACCAAGACAGCAAGTTGCTGACAATCAGTGATGAGTTGCATGTATTTGTAAAGGAAACTGGATGCAAATCACAAGTGAGCAACTAAACAGACTCTGTACTTGAAGAAAATTTTGGCCACTTTCATTAGAAGAGACTGAGAAACCCATGCAAAGAAGGTAACGGATTCCAGAACAGACTTGAAGGGAGGAACAAGAATAGTTCAGGACACACGGGACAATCAGCAGAACATCAAAGGGGCAAGTAGACTGGACTGAAGGGAATGGTGTCCCCTACCAGATCCTTTGTGAAAGAGAGCTAAAAGTTAATACCACATCCTATACTCTGAACTGTGTAATTATTATGAATATTCACATTTCAATACACAGGCCACATTTTCAATAATAATAGAGTAGGCAGTGGCAAACTAGGGTGTGCAGTCCTAATCTAGCTCTTAATTGTAAATAAAGTTTTTTCTGGAGCACTGCCACACCTATTTGTTTATGTATTATCTATCTGTTTCAGCACTACAACAGAGCTGGATAGTTGCAACAGAGGCCAATGGCTTGCAAAGCCCAAGGAATTTACAATCTGGCTCTTTACAAAGAAAAGGGTTGCTGACCCCTGACCTACAGAAGTATGGATTTAGTCATTCAATAAAACCTTTTGTTGTCTTTGAGAAACTTAAGTTTTAGAATACGCTTCTAACTACCTTTATTTTAAAGGCTGTATCTGTCCACCAATGTCAGTATTTTTGTATCTGTAAGAAATTAAAAAAATTATAGAGTGAGTTAACGGAAGAAAGTTTCTGGGATGCTGGTCTGTTCTGGAGGCCTGGGACATGGGAATTTCCAAAGTGTGAAAACTCATCAAGCTGTATACTTATGCATACTTCTTTGGGTTTTGGGGGTATATATGTATACTATACTTCAGTAACGTTTTTACAAAAGCATGTATACCTCATCCCTTACAGAATTTCAATAGGCAGCATGTATCAACTACCTCCCATAGACTGGACTCCACACTAAGTACTAAAATGAAGACACACAGAATGTACAGTTACAGAGCTCAGCAGAGTAGACAGGCAATATACATAAAAGCACACAAATAATTATATACTGTCAAGTATGTAAGCTGCAGGATTGCATTACAAGCTCATAACAATCTAACTAAACTAACTCAGGCAAAAGGAAATTCATTGGCTCAGAGATTCCAAGAAGTTTTAAAGCAAACTAGGAAAAGAGACGCATCTAGGCCAGTGGTTCTCAAGTTAAGATGATTTTTGCCCCCCAGGGGATACTTGGTAATGTCTGAAGACAATTCTGGTTGTCACTACCAGGGGAGTGCTAGTGGCGTCTAGTGGTAAAGGCCAGGGATAGTGTTAGATATCCTACAATGCCCATGAGAACCCCTGACAACGAATAGTTTGGCTCAAAATGTCAATATTGCCAAGGCTGAGAAACCTTGATCCGAGTCTTTGTTACTAAAAGTGTGGTCTGTCGAAACAGCAGCTTTCAGCAGCATCTCAAAGTAGATCAGAAATTCAGAATCGTGGCCCTACCCCAGATTATTTAAATCAGAATGTGCACAAGATTCCAGGTATCTCTTGAGCACATGAAGGTTTGAGAAGCAGGACCCTCAGCTCCTGCTACATCTAGAGTCAGGTAATGACTTCGCCAGGCATGTTTCTCCCTGCATGACTTCCCATCTCTTGCTGCAGATGAGATTCTGCCTCACGCAGGAATGTTGGCTGCTAAAGGTTACTAGGATTCACGCCTCATATCTCCCCCTCCACGTGAGAGGTGCTGAGTTTACCAATTTTAGGTGGCTTTAATAGCCACAAAAGAAAATAATGGGGGTACTATAAGAAATCTACCTAGATTTGGGATCAGGGAAGCCAATGCTGAAAATTTAAGCTGATTTCTGAAAAACAAGGACAGTTGGCAAGCAAATTAAGGCGTTTGTCAAATATTTACTAAGCACTTATTATGTTCCAGACACTGTTCTGGACCTGGGAATGTATCAATAAAAAGGACAAAGTCCTGATCCTGCCCTTGAGGAGTTTATATTCCACTGGGCAGAAGCAGACAAACACATAAACACAGAGAATGCACAATACAATTGCAGAACCTGATAAATGCTGGGAGGGAGGGAAGCAGGCAAATCGTCTGGAGAATCAAGGACGATGTGATAGAACATCTAGGGCCCAAGGACAAATATGTTAGGAAGGATTCTCCAAATAAGGTAAGATTTGGACTGAGACCTGAAGAAGAAGGAGTTAGTCAATCAACCAGGGGACAGGTATTCTACAAAGACAGAACGGCACAGAAAAAGGCCCTGAGGAGTGAGAGCTCCGCAAGCTCCAGCCTAAAGGCAGGGTTGAGGGGTTGGGGGCGGCAGAGAAGGGGAAAGCTGAAGGTGCAGAATGAGGGAAACAGGGTCCTAGCGGTTAGCTGTAAAACAGACCTTCGGCAGGAGAGTGCAAAGGTTCCAACTGAGGCAGCTCCTGGCTCTGGCTGCCTCGGCTTGAATCTGGGATTTGCCATTTATAGGAAGCATGACTAGGCCAGGCACAGTGGCTCACATCTGTAATCCCAGCACTTTGTGGGGCCATGGCAGGTGGATCACATGAGGCACGGAGTTTGAGACCAGCCTGGCCAACATGGTGAAACCCCGTCTCTACTAAAAATACAAAAATTAGCTGGGTGTGGTGGCACATGCCTGTAATCCCAGCTACTTGGGAGGCTGAAGCAGGAGAATCACTTGAATCTCCAGAAGGCAGGGGTTGCAGTGAGCCGAGATTGTGTCACTGCTCCCCAGCCTGGGTGGGCGACAGAGTGAGAACCTGTCTCAAAAAAAAAAAAAAAAAAAAAAAAAAAAAGAAGTGTGACTATTTCATAGGGTTGTTCATAGAATTACAAGACACCCTACAACAGGAGTTGGCCCAATCTGGCCCACTGCATGTCTTGTATGGCCTGTGACCTAAGAAAGTTTTCTGTTTACATTCTTAAATGGTTATGTTTTAAATGGGCATATAAGTACCTATCTCATACCCTTGATTTTGCCCCTTAACTCCACAAAGCCTAAAATACTGACTATGAGGCCCTTTACAATAAAGTCTGCCATAGCCAAGCCTGTACATAGCAGGCGCTCAGGAGGTGAGAGCCGACACTGCCAGCTACCATGTCAACGGATATGACTCCCTGGTCAGGCATTACCTGAGGCTCTTTACATTGTACTTCCCCAAATAACAATTATCCTAATTTATAGTTAAAATGCAGGCAAGTAACATGGAACATAGAACTTTAATTCTAGAATTAAAACCCAGGTCACTATGTCCCGAAAACCCATGATCCTTCAGTCTCTCATGAAAATCACACAGGTAAGCCCTCTATTAATTCGTTCTCTAAGCTAGGTATTGTTATCCTCTGTGTAACTGATACAAAGACAGTCAAGATGAAACTGAATGAATTTATATCAGAGCACTCATTGTATGATCAAAGCAAAGAGAGGATTGGGGATAAGAAAAGGATGTAGCTGATATTGAGGGTGGTACTTAAACCAATTTACTGTCCCTCTTTTTGCTTTTTCCCCCCAATATTCTCTAGTAAATGTTACTTTGGTAATAAGAGAAAATACTTATTTTTATAAAGGAAGAAAGCAGAAATAATCAGCCTTACCCAGAGTAGCTACATTGTACTTTTTAAAGACAGCACTATTTTGACAGCCAAAAAAGACACTTAGGAATACAGCATTACAAATTCAAGATCATGTCTATGAACTTGGCTTGAAAAAACCCTCCGCTAAAATACAACCTACCATCTGTACAATGTATTCAAAAATGATTAGCATAGTATGAAAAAATAATGCTGGAACAGCAGATTTTTTTTTTCCATTTTTTAAGAACGCTTCCTGCTCGGTATTATTTTCGGATTCCTCCGTGAGGTATAAGCAAAGGCAAAATGGAATCTCAGGTCAAGAAGATGGAAACAGAAAGTAAACAGACAAAAAAGGAACATTAAATACTCTTTACTGAAGATGTGACACTGCTCTAGAAATTTCACTGAGCCCAAGAGAGAATCTTTGCATGCGCCAACGTCAAGAGCTGCACTGGGAAACCTCCCTTTTCTGGCTTCAAAAGTGAAAGCCTGGGTCCTACTTACACTCTCTCAGCTATCAAAAGCTATAATGCCATTTCTCTGACAGCAGGACTCTCACACTCTCATGTCACTAAAAGTGAATCAGCAGAGCTTGCAGATGCATGGAGCCCAGAAAGGCACCTCTCGGGAAAGGGTGTGGAGAGTGCCGGGGCAGCATGGAGCACGTTGATGGCCACAGACAGCAGTATCTTGCCCTGACTTTCTCACTAACCAGGGCGCCTTTTTGCGCAATCTCTTGACTCCCGGAATCCTTACTAAAAATAAGGGAGTTAGGCTGAGAAGCCCTGTCTAA